GTTCAGCAGTGATGTTGTCTTAGTATGTACTGACTCTGGGATTACACTGCAGGAAGTTCTTATCTGGGTATGGAGAAATGCTGTGTGATGGCAAGTAAAACAGTTGGTGCTTGTCATAAGGTCTATTTATTGGTTTGTTAACTGATCCATAGACAATATCACTGGGCTGTTGAGCCCAACGTGTGTGTCTGAATTAATTTGATGTTAATAATAAGTCACTGCTGGGGGGGAAAGGGCAGAGGGAAGGGAACTATTTGTTGTGAAATGACTTGATGACCCAGGTTGACTACTTCCTGAAGTAAAAGTCCTTGTCTCTGTGCAAAATCCAAAGTATGCCTAATTTTGTAATATTGATAGAACAATGTTGTATCTAGAAAGAATGTAGCTGTCATAACTTCATGTTGATGGAAATGTCTGCACTGGGGTAATGTGCCTTGGACTGTCCAGGGCACTCTTGTGGTCTTGTCTATTCAGAACTCCACTCTGGATCTGAACAGAGAATGTTTTGGGTTTGTGTTTTTCAAAGCATGAGTCTAATGTGAACCTGTTCACGGTCTCTCGTGGAGCAAGATCTGTTCCCTTCATAACTGCAATGGCTCAAATACCATTTATTTTTTTCAAACATTAAAGGTGAATTGACACATTTATACAGCCTCTAGTTTCTTTTTCATTGCCAGCTGTCCCCAGTACAAACTGCACTTTCCAAAGAGGGTGAGCAGCCTGTTCTGTGCTCAAGAAGATGCTGATGACCCAAAGGAGGCAGGTCTGCAGAGGGAGAAACTTGACCTGAAGAGCATGTGTGGCCCATCTGTGTTGGTGCTGACCTCCAGCCTGGCTCAAACCCTGTGTCAGAAGGAGGGAGGAGAGTGTCCCCTGCTGCAGCCCTGGTGGGATCCAGCTCTGCCAAGCAGTCTAGAACCTCTCAATGGCTGGGGCTGGTGTTGCAGTGGGGGTCCTGGCTCCTGTGTATGATCAAAGATGTCTCCCTGCTTTGCAGGAAAGTTTGTTTCCCCCCTCAGGCTTCCTCCCTGTGCTTGACAGGAAAGTGAGATCTGAAACTCCTGCCAGTTGCCTGAAGCTGATGTGCTCATTGCCTCTCACACTGCAGGGGCTGCAGGCTTGCCCTGAAACCACCCCTCTCAGTTTGCTTTCTTACTTGATGCAACCTAAATTTGGGGTTGTGACCTCCTTGATATTTTGGAAAAGCGGTGGGTGCCTAACCAGGCACGGGAGTGTGACAGCTGTGCTGTGGGACAGTAACACTGGCAGGAGACACGTGGGGAAGTAGAGCTGCAGACAAATGTGACTCATACAAGGCAGCTCTGAGCTGAGCCCAGACCTCTCAAGTGAGCAGCAGCATGGCTGTTGCACACAGGCAGCCTTCTGTAATCTGCACCTGAAAAGCAGAGCTGCTTTCTACTTTAGGGGAGCAGTCCCAGCCAGTGTTTTAGCTGAAAGTGGAGTTGTGGGGCTTAAGCTCTGTCTGTGCCATGGCACTGGACTCCTGGCTGGGTCTGGAAAGCATTTGTGGAGCTGGGGTAGTTGAGCCTTTGGTGCACAGGGTCAAAGTGCTCTTGGTAAAAGCAAGAAGCAGAAAAGCTGATACCTGAATGCCAGCTGCAGCACAGCAGCCTGCTAATCCAAATCTGAGGTGGAAAACTTTTCCAGCCTGAGTGCTGACTGTGGGAAAGCATCCCTTTGAGCCACATATCCAGCAGCTGTGGTGCTGTGTGAATTGGTCCCTGCCAGGGCTGGAGAAGCAGCATACACTGGAGCTGGCACATGCAAGCAGAAAGTGCCTTTGGAACTTCCTTGGATGTGTCAATGCAGCAGGAGTCCTGCTCCAGGGCGAGGAAAAGAAGCTCTAGCTCACACCTTCAGCTGTTAGGCAGTGAAACTGAGCCCTGCCCACCTCTGCTCAGCCTTTCCCCTAAACCATCTTGTGTGTAGTCCTGGGGCTCTGAAAGACACAAACTGCCTGAAGTTAAGCAACGTTTCCCTTTACACAGCTGGTAGCAGGGTGAGGCTTCAACATGGAGCCTTCTGCCTGGCTGAACTTCCCTTCCCTGCTCCCCAGCAGCTGACTGACATGGCTTTTGGCATTGACTTTTTCCACCCTTGGGCTCCACTCTGTCTCCAGTTTCCAGCCGGTGCAGGTGTCCTGCATGATGCCTTGTGGCCTTAACTGTTTCTGTGCTGGAGAGGCCAACACAGCATCCCCAGGGTGTCTGCTGAGTGTCAACGGGGGCACAAAGCTGCTTGGAAACATCTGGATCTGCAAGTGGAAGGTATGTATCTGGGGAAAACATCTGGAGAGAAACTGCTTCCACATGTGTTTGGCCAAAATTGCTATTTAAATGTAAACTGAATAGAGGTTACTGTCCTGCCCCACAAGCATTCAGAAATCACCTAATTGCAGGGATTTGGGGTGTTGCTGCCTGTTGGTGGGGGTCTGAGTGCAGCATGGGGCTGCAGATGTGCGTGTGCACTCGCTGCGGTTTGTGGTTGGGGGGAGTGTCACATTTTTTTCTCTTGTACAAGCCAAGTTACTCAGTTCCTCGTGTTGAGTATTTCTTCCAGATGTGGCCTTACAAAAGCAAAGCTTTGCAGCACTGAGGGGCAGATGGGCTGGTTTTCTGTAGCTGTGCTTTGTGTGTGTTAGATACTCTCTAGGATTCACCCTTCTGTGGAGGGAGCGTGGTGTGAAGGTGCAGGGAGAGCCAGCCTTGCTCCCTGCCTCCCTGGCACAATGTTCTTCCCCGTTCTCTGTGACCACCTGGGATTCTGGGATGGGACACAGAAACATCCTCCCCACCCTGGGCATCCTGCTTGGGGACCAGGTGTCACAACCTGCTCTGGTGGCAGCAGCCAGGCTGTCCCACCCAACAAAGCCAGCCTGTGGCACTGCCATTGCAGAGTTCATCTTCCATGAGCACATGGAAGCACAGCCTGTGGCTGGTAAACCTGGTCCCCAGTGGCCTTGTTCCTTCTCATGGTGCTTTTACAGGAGACTGGAGATGAAGAGAGAAAACGTTGAAAGTGAGATTTAAGTGATTTCTGTTTCTGGCAGGTAAATCCTTGGGAGGCCAGTGCCACGCGGTGAGGGAAGCAGGGCTGTGCCATCCCTGCCCACCCAAGGTTTCCCTGCTTTGTTCTATTTATTGAGCTATGATTCTGACACCCTTTCCCAGACTGTGACTCATAGCAGCAGTATCTGTGCATAAGCCCTGCATCTCAGAGCGCTTTATAGATACAGGAGCTGTGGGAGCCTCGCAGGAGCCAACTGTGTTTATTAAAAGACGATCAGATGTTTCCTCCCTTAAGGCAGTGTCTAGCTGAGCCTGAGTAATAACTCATTACCAACGAGACAAATAACAGCTTATCATCAGGTCAATGCCTTTGCCAGCCCTTCTCTTAGCTCCTGCACCAAGCACTGGTGGTCTCAGCACTCGGCACAGGGGGTTAAAAAGGAGCAGTGCTGCCAGACCCCACACTGCTCCCCATCTCTTCCCCTACCACCAGCCTGAGCAGAGGCAACCCTAGGAAGGTGACCCCAGGCTCTCCTCTGCAAGGCTTGGCCCTGGGTTAAGCTCAAGGAACAGTTTTATCAGGCCCTGGTGTAGCTCGTTTCCTCCTGCCTCCTCCGGCCTCGGGGTCCGTGTCTTTCTGTCCTAGTGCTGGGAACTTGGAGCAAATGCACCAGAGCTTGCTGTGGCTTGGTGGGAAAATCACTGGTGGGTCAGTGCAGCCACAGAGGCACCCTGGGTGTGCTGGCAGCTGAGGTGGGATGTCACACTTCACTATACTCCCGTCCCCGTGTGCCTCTTGCTGCTGGGGACACAGCAGAGAGCGGGTCTGGTTCTTTTTCCCTTCCCTTGCAGGACGTGGGGCCAGGACCCTGTCAGGCTTGTTCAGAGCCTTTCTTTCCTCGGACGCCATCCTCTGGTGCAGCCTCCTCTGCCAGATGCCATGGCATCTCTCCATGTCCTTTGTTCCCTCCCCTGCTTACACGGCTCTGATGATGTATGGCCGTTGCGGAGCAGCTCGACCGCAGCTCAGCTGCTCCCTCAAACCCCGGCCAGGCCTTGTCCCCTGCTTTTGGGGAGGGGTCCCAGCCCTTCATGCAATAGGGCCCCATTTAAACATGTATGCATTTAAACATGTATGCATTTAAACATGTGCGTGGCCTTTTCTTTCACCTCCTTCCAGCCTGAGTGTGAATGAAGTGCTTTCAAGGGGAGGAGATCTCTGGGAGCCCCGCTCTCCCTCTGCATTGGTTGCAGCCCGTAAAAGCATCCAAGGAATTTGCCACGGTGGTCCCTGCGCGGGCTGAGCGCTGAAAGCCGCCCTTTGTTTGGCCACCGAGTCCCACAGCCCAGGGAGGCTGGAATCTGCAGAGCTGGATGTGTGCTCTTGTCAGCACATCACCCTTAGCAGCCCCATCGTGGGTGCCACACTGCACCGGGGCAGTCGGGAAAGCTTTTTTTTGGCCACTTTTTCCCATGTCCCACCCAGCAGAGGGTGAGCAGCCGGGGGTGGGCAGTGTTGGGTGCTGCCAGGGCACCATGGAAAGATTCCCTGGGCTGATTGCCCAGCTGTAGGCACGGTGTGACCCCAGCTTTAGCCCCGTGCTGCTTAAGCTGAGTCAGAGGAACGGAAATCCCT